TTTTTTTTTTTTTTTTTTTTTTTTTTTTTTAAAGCGAATATTTCGCTGCGTGTTGCCATCCGACCGGTGAAAAGTTGCCGAGGAAAAATTCATTCAGCCGGCCGTGTCACAATTAATATAGCACCGGTGTGTGCTCGATATAACACACGATTTTACAGAGCGAATTTCGAGGCGGTGCTGTTGTCACCGGCGAGCATTTCGATGATTAATGCGCGCAGAAATTTCGAAGCAATGACGAAACGCCGCGGCCGAGACGTAACAGACGGTGAATCATGACGGTGTGTACGATTCGATAAATCATAGCGTTTGCTCTCGCCGCTATAATCCACGATTTTTCACCCGTTCTCAATGGCTCCTTTCGTACATTGATCGAACGTAAAGAAACACCGTGTCCTAACCGCAACGAGATGCCATAAATCACGATCCTCAGCTCGCTCCGAATTCGTTTACACGCGATGCACTTGCACGGATGAGCGTAATTGCAGTTATGAATTCCCAAACGTAGTAATTTTCTTCTTCTTTTTTTTTTTTTTTTTTGTACCCACTTTGTACGAATTGCACGAGTTGCGAAAATAAATCCGTAGGCACAGTAATTAAAGAAATCGACGACGTCCTAATCTCGTATATGAAGAGCAAAGATAAGAACCATTGTTAAAAGGAGACATTATAAGTGTAGTATCAAAATTATTCGAACATATAGTTACATTTTTAGTTTCTTTTATTTTTAATAGATGGCCTATTTGCTAGAGATGCGTGAACGAAAAGTGTGAATGTGATGTGAGAAGTACTGCGTTGGCGTTGAGCGCTTTTCTTTTTAAAAAAGCAGCAGAGAGGTAAAACAGCGGGTGCAAAAAGTGATCATTTTGTGTTGCATAAAAGAATTAATTGTGTCGTTTGAGTTTATTCGAATTATTGTTATCTGTCTTGTTTTATTATTTGTTGTTTTGTTTTCCGTTTTCTTTATTACTTAATATAATAAACATCATTAAATTATATCTCTACATAAGTTCGTGAAAGAAAAAAAAAAAAAAAAAAAAAAAAAAAACATTGTTAGACCGCGTCGGTGCGTGTGTATTCCGTTTCACCGTTTATTCTTTAACGTTTCATTAAGTGTAATGGCTTGCTTTCCATTACCGGCGAATGTACTTGTAGTCCCGCGGTCGGTTTGTCTGTTACCCGTGCACTTGGTAGTAATTACTGGCGAGCCTAGCGAATGCACTTACCTTAAATGACGATCAGAAGATATAAGACGACAGTGCTTGCCTCGTCGTATCGTTGCCCGCTGAGGGGAACAAACCGTTCTGCCAGGATTTTGGATCCACTCGTCGTGGAAACGTCAGGTTCAAATATTTACGAGCGAACGAACGAAATTAACTGCCGTCAGTTTTAGAAAGTTCGTAGCGCAGATTGAAGAAACTTGTGTTGCTGTGTTCGATAGATTTTGTAAAATAAAGTGAAATTTTTAAGTACTTTTGAAATATCTAAAATGTCTTCAACGTGAAACGAGATTTTTTCATCGAGAGTTGCGTTCTACTTGTTAAATTATATTTTCAAAGATACGATTTCTGCATAAAAATGATCCGTTGATCGTTCCAGACAGTGTTTTATTAGTAAATGTTCCTTGCAACTTTCCCTAAATGTTCGCAACAATCTTGACGTTAGCTACGAATTTTCCGTAAAAGTGCAAAAGTGATTTTTCCCTAGCACAAAGGTAAAAAAAGTATTCAACGCTCGTTGCTCAATAACGATATATCTGAATGGGAACACGAACTCAGAATATATTTAAACGCCTGAGTATGTGTATGTATATATAGATATATATATATATATATGTATATGTATATATTTATAATCGCGTTCATCATAAAAGTACAATAATAGCTTTATATCAAATCACGAGGAGAAATTCAATATTCACACGGTAGGCGCGGACAATTAGCTCTTCAGAGTACCGATTTACCGAGGATTCATTTTCGTGTGTTCT